AACAAGCCCATAGGCAGCTGAAGGAGAAGGGAGAGGCTGGGGAACGGTGGGAGGGATGAGGAGAGTCAGGGAAGAGGCTTGGAAAAGTAGCAACTGGATCCTAGCTTAACCTCTAAAGGAAACAGACTGGAAGGCAGCCGTGCATCCTGGGTAGGAATGGCAATAGGACCACTGGCAGGCCCTGGTGTTCCACTGCAGAGGTAAAAAAAAAGTAAGGACTTCCACAAACCCTAAGCACAAGTTGGACAGTTTACAAATACACACGGTTTAATGAAGAATAATAATAAGAGCCACTGCTTAAATTCAGTGACAACTTTTCAAACAAATCCAAAAGGTTGCTTTTCTTAAGTGAAATTTAATCTTACTGCCACAGCAGGGCTAGTTCAATATTTCTAAAAGTGTTAACTTTTAACTAGTTTAACCAGGGAATGATGCTATTCTCTGATTCTGGAAGACCCAGAAACACGCAGACGTCAAACGCTCCAAGTGTTTCTTTGTTCGAGTGATAGTTTTGAAGACAGCTCCAGATAAACCCAACAATCGAGCTGCTGTAAATAGCCTTGCTCTTTCATAAATTTCTCACTCTATTTAGAAGGATGGTTCCTTTGTTCACAAACTACTCCCAACAGGCTCCATATTTAGAATCCCAAAGGCGTAGCTCGGACTCATCCGATAGATGAGTGCGCGGTTGCGTGGATGGTTGAGCAGGGGGGCCATCAGCTGGCTGTGTGAGATCCTGGGGATGAGATGTGTGTGCAGAGTTCTTCGTGTATGTGGATCCCTGGCTGGCCAGTGTGGGTGTGGCCCACCCTTCACAAGCACGACTTCCCTGTTTAACAGTGAGACTGGATTAAAGTGTATCAGAGGATTTTGAGATAGGGTTCTCTGAGTAGCCCTGGCTGTCCTGGAACCCACTATGTAGACCAGGCTGGCCTCAAACTCAGAGATCTGTCTGCTTCTGCCTCCCGAGTGCTGGAACTAAAGGTGTGTGCCACCACCACCCTGCATGACACTGTTCTTTAAAAAAAAAAAAAGCTGGGTGTGGTGGTGCACACCTTTAATCCCAGCACTCAGGAGATGGGGGCAGGCAGATGTCTGTGAGTTCAAGCTCAGCCTGGTCTACAGAATGAGTTCCAGGATAGCCAGGGCTACATAGTGAGACCCTGTTTTAAAAACAAACAAATAAAAATTCCAGTGGGCAAGGAAGGAGGTGTTCATGACATCGGGGCAGATTCACTACAATGCTAAAGGAAACAGCTGTCACAGCCCCTCACTTGCAAAAGGTCCCTGCCAGTAAGCACTAATAATGTGCTTACACGGTCTTAGGAGTATCTACTGCAGTGGTTCTCAACACCCTTGGGGGAATCAAAGGACCTTTCCTAAGGGTCTAATATTGGATATCCTGCAATCAGATATCTACATTATAATTTATTTTTATTTTATTTCAATTATTTTTTAAATTTAACTTTTACTTATTTTTTGAGAATTCAATCTGTAGACCAGGCTGGACTCGAACTCACAGACATCTGCTTGTTTCTGCCTCTCGAGTGCTGGAATTAAAGGTGTGTGCCACCACTGTCCAGCTTGGCCACATCTCTTCAAGGTTCTAACAGCCACAGGCTGGGACCCAAGCCTTTATCAGATGACCTCTAAAGGACAAACCACAGCATTTACTAAGGACACTGAATCAGGGAATCAAAGCAAGGGGTGCCAGTCAAATTTCTGGGCAGCTTCTCGTTCCTCTAGAAAAGCCCTGTTTCGTAGGCTCGCAGTTCTCATATCACGACTTCCCTTTCAGTTTTAACATCTCCTGTGCAAATGAAGTCACAAGAGACATTCAGCTGTTACAAACTTCATGTCAAGCTCTGAAGTGCTTTTTAATAGCAGAAATATTTGGCTCACGTGTGGGCTTTGTAGCTATGGTAAATACCTCTTAGTTATCTGTCGTTACTGTTATTCCACACCTCCAATTTGGAGGAGAAATTCTGCATATGCATTGAGGCACTAGAAAAGAATATTGAACTATATCTGAGCTCTTTTGTGAATGGTTTCCTTTTATTTCTTCTCTCATGGAACTAATACTTTCACCCGCATTGTACTGGCTATGGGTGGGAAAGCAGTGGGCAGAAAGGGGAACTCTTGATTTCTGTGGCACTGGCTGGTGGCTTCCCTTCCTCAGCTGCTGAGGTTAAGTGGTCAAGCAGCTCCTTCCTATAGGATCAACTTACTGAGTCATTCACCTGCCCTCCCACACCCTCTGTGTGCGCTCCTGTGTGTGTGCTGGGGGTATGTGAGTGTGTGTGTATGAGTTTGTGTGTGTGCTGGGGGTGTGTGTGTATGAGTGTGTGTGTGTTCTCGGTGTGTGTGTATGAGTGTGTATGAGTATGTATGTGTCCGGGTGTGTGCGTGTGAATAAGTGTGTGTGTATGAGTGTGTGTGTGTGTGTGTGTTGGGTGTGTGTATGAGTATTTGCGTTTGTGTTTGGGGTTGTGTATGAGTATATGTATGTGTGTTTGGGGTGTATATGAGTGTGTGTGTTTGGAGGTGTGTATGAGCGTGTGTGTTTGGGGGTGTGTATGAGTGTGTGTGCATGCATGTGTGTGTTGGGGTGTGTGTATGAGTATGTGAATGTGTGTGTGTGTGTTGGGGTGTGAATGAGTGTATGCACATCATGATTAGAGGTCAATGTTGGGTATCCTCCTCGATCACTTTAACCATTTATTTACTGAACCTGAGGCTCACCTTATTGGCTAGACTGGCCATCCAGACCCAAGGACATACCTGTCTCTACTCCCCAGTGCTAGGATTACAGGCACATACCATGGAACCATTTTTGTTTGTTTTAACATTTTTGTTTGTTTTAACATAGGAGCTATGGATTTGAACTCAGGTCCTAAAGCTTGAACGACAAGCCCTTTACCAACTGTGCCCCCTCCCAGCCCCTCCCTGCATCCTGTGATGCTTTAGATGGATAAAAATGCTCTTAGGTTTTACAAAAGAGGAAACTGACCACAATTAGTCTTTGGTAAAGGTAGAAAAGAAAGAAACAACAAAAACAAGCCTCTCATTAGGGAATTTGGTATGGTTATTGAAATACAGCCTGTATGCCTTTATGTCGCCCCATGTATCAAAAGAATCCATTTCGATGTAGCATTATTGAGAACAGACACATCTGAACAAAAGCCAGGCGGTAAGCATTTGGGATCTGCCCTGTGCTGAACAGCAACATTTTACTTTATGTAACTTAATTATTTTATGAAGAGATAACAGAAAATTTTATTGCACTCCCCAAGTTAAACACTTGACATTTTTATTCCTTAAAATGCAACATTTTGGAAGTCTAGATATGTTTATTAATTAGTGATTATTAACACCCAGTAAACAACATTATGTCTTGTAAAAACACAATCTCCCTGCACAGCGTGAGGTTGAAGTCTATTATTCCCTGATTCCATATGCTGAAATACACTCAAATGGTCACAAATGACCTTAAGCACTAAATAAATGTAAATGAGAACAACATAGAAAATGCACTTTTGATTGATAACTAAAAGACCAGGTTGAGAAGCATGTCCCAAAATGAAGCCCTTTCCAGAAGGGGACGGCTGTGTGAACCATGGAGGAAGGGCTCTGCTCAGTCTCCCTCCCAAGTGTTGAGATTACAGATACAGGCCATGCTACCCAGCATCACTGGTTTTTACCCATTGTGTTTGTTCGTCCAACTGTTTTTCTTAAACTACGCAGTCAGGGTAGGCAAGTGTCCTCGACATAGAGGAAACTTACAACACCAAAGGACGCCAGAATAACATGACAAACAAAATAATTCCAGATGGAACTGTTACTGTGATGAAATCTGTAGTTAAATGCACAAAAGGAAAATGCACAGATGCAGCTATTTCCACGTGTTAGTACACCTTAGTAGGGATGGCATTCTCCTTTTAGTTCAGGGTGGGGCATCACAGAACACACAGTGGTTCTACCAGGGGAAAGCAGTTCTCCTAGCCTGGAAAAGAATGAACGGAACCAAAAGGGACTGGACCCCTGGACTATTAAAACCACCAATAGAAGAAGGTGTCTTAGCCTTGGTGCTATTGATGCCCTGGGCCACATGCTTCTATAATGGAGGGGTCTGCTGTGTTTTCAAAGCTACGAGTCATCTCCACCATTAGACATCAGGACCAGAAGAAACCAGTAGTGACAGTGTCCACTCTCACCCAAGTCATCACAAGGACTGACAGAATCCCCTTGGGGTATAAGACTGCCCAGCCCAGGCTGTGCGTCACTGGAACAGAGCCACTTAAGAAGGCCTCCAAACTAGGCTTTCCCCAACCTCACACTGCATAATCTTAACCATCAAGTGGACTGGAGAGATGGCTCAGTGGTTAACAGCACTGGCTTCTCTTCCAAAGGACCGGGGTTCAATCCCAGCACCCACATGGCAGCTCAACAATTGTCTGAAACTCCAGTTACAGAGGCTCTGACACCCTCACACAGACATACATGCAGGCAAAACACCAATACACATAATAAATAAAATGAAAACGAAACAGAACGAAACTCTCCTGAGCCAAGAAGTGACCAAGTAACCCTAACTCAGTGGATAATGCATTACTTGAGTGTTCTACACCATATGTAGTTCTGGTGCTTTCGTCTATTTAACGGAGTGTCTGCCTGCCTCATGGGAGTCTCACAAGGTTCAATGAGGCACCCGGAACAGTGCCTAGTGTATAGTAGGTGCTCAATCAGCATTATCTACTATCACTGTATACATAGCATCAAGTATACAGTAGGTGCTCAATCAGTATTATCTACTATCACTGTATACATAGCATCAAGTATACAGTATGTGCTCAATCAGCATTATCTACTATCACTGTATACATAGCATCAAGCATACAGTAGGTGCTCAATCAGCATTATCTACTATCACTGTATTAATCCATAGCATCAGGAAAGCAGTTTCCAGTTTCACTCAGATAGGAGGCAGAAAGGTATCTTACCAGCTTGATATTTTGTGAGCCTTAAATACGCCAGTCTCCTGATTGCTTTTGATGATGCTGTTCACATCTGCGGGGGCACAGTTAAGAAAACTTCTGCAGTGACCATCAACTGATTAAAACAGAAACCTACAAACATGCTGGCTTCTCATCACAATGGGATCAACATGAGAAGGAGGAATGAGCGGTCAATGTTGTGCCGTGAAATACCAACTCAGCACTGGCGAGAACTTTTCATTCCCCGGCTTGCGATTTAATCACCCGTGGGGGGAACATCTAGGGTAGCATCGTGGCAGGGCCCAGGGGATAGGTGCTGGAGGGCACTGCTGGGGAACATGAGCTGCTATGCCACTTCCCCAGGGCAATCAGGCATCCAAAGACAGATGCCCATCAGCCAGTGAGGAGGGCAATGGCAGCCTTTGATGACTTTCCAAACTAAAGCGGGTCCAATCTCCTAAATGCTTGTACAGGGAGGGAAGATGGGCAGGAGGGGCGGTGTTGGGAGGAGGCCAGGAGAGGTGGAAGAAAACCTGGAGCATCTTTGGAGGAAATGCAACAATGAAGAAGAAAGTCATCCTAGTGCGGTGGGGGCTGTCCTTCTGTATATACGTTACTCTTACTGGTTGATGAATAAAACACTGATTGGCCAGTATTCAGGCAAGTATGGGCGGGGCTACCAGACAAGGAGAGATGCCACGCAGCTACCTGGAAAATAGGACTCCAGGCGTTCTCCAGTAAGACAAGGCCATGTAGAAATACATAGATTAATAGTTACAGGTTAATAACTAACAGAGAGCTAGCCAATAAGAAACCCGAGCCATTGGCCAAACAATTTATAATTAATATACGTCTCTGTGTGTTTACCTGGGACTAAGGGCGGCAGGACCAAGCCAATAGGACCTCTGTCTACACTAGTGAAAGGTCCCTTGAAGAACTTCCGCTTTGGCCTGCGGCCTTGCTCTGACACAGGACTCAAGTAGAAGAGTTGTGTTTACGTTAAAGAAACTCTGCGTGACATCCAAAGACCCTTGGGAGAAAGCACACCTAGTTCAACACCAGGAAGAGCTGTACTGCAGATCTATAATAGGTTTCTGTGAGTGCTGCTATTTCTCTCTTTGCTCTGGACCCTGGATGGGTAGAGCCTAATAAATATACCAACTGCGACACCCAGACACTCCTGTGGTCTTATTTTCTGTGCTGACCTCTGTCCCTGGCTTCCTAATTTCTGAATGCCCCCACTTCTCATTTATTTGACTTGGCACATTTCCTATAAGACGCCTCACAATCCCCCTCTGGAGTATGGCAAGTTTAAATAAACAGGAACTAAAATAATTCTCCTGAAGGCTGCAAGCTGAAAGAAATTGGGCCCATGGGGAGGATACCAGGCAGACAGCGATGTTCCCCTATTGCTTGGAAAAACGCATTTCCTGAATGTTCAAAGCAAACACTGGCCAAGATCTCCCTGCCAGAACAGAACCACAGGATTCTTAAACCCAAATCTGTGCTTGCACCACCAGGCACACCCATTCTTCTCCGAGTGAATAAGCAGGTACTGTGGGATAGCTCTCCTCCCCTCAGGAGTAGGGAGGAAAAATCAATTAGGTCCCCTAATGATGGGCTTTGTAGAGGTTTACAAAAGTGCCATAATGCAGACTTCTTTTTTTTTTTCTGGGTGAACTTTCCTGTATGCAAATTAAATACCGTTAAATTACATTCATTAAAAAAATAAAGGAGACTAATTTCCCTACTTGTTTTGATTAACTAAAATGACACATCGGCCTACGGTTTCTGTCTATTTCAGGAGCCTTCTAGATGAAGCATCTTGCAGGAAAGGACGGCTGACATCTTCATTCAGAGAAGCACAAAATTAGTAGAGTCAACTGACAACTGCTTTTTATTAAGTCCCCTCTCCTAGCCACACCCTACTCCAAGTTTCCATGGTATCCAACTGCCTGCTATAATGTGCTCGGCACACCTGTAGCGTCCTATGAGTACATGACTAATCTATCAAGCAAAACATATTATTTTGCTAGTGGAGGTAATACTTTTTTATAAAATAGTCGCAGGGAAGTTAAATTATATAACTCAGAAAACCTATTAATAATTTCTAGTAAACATCTTAACACTATATACTTTATACATTTATAAGCCTGCGACTCTGGGTGGTCAGGCTGTAGCAAGCAAGGATATTTATATTCTACAAGTTATATTTTCTAGTGAAAAATTCACTGTGGTATTTAGGCTGCTTTATTTTTAGAACTGGGCAGGAAATATACTTAGTGGTTCGGAAGGGCTTTTAGAAATATACTAAAAGAATCACAGAGAATAGATGGCAGTGCTACGTTAAAACATTACCTTAAGAGATAAACTCTGATATTCTGCTCCTGCACCCCGTAGGTCAGATTTTGATGGTCTTTCTGGATGGCACTGTGTCCAATAATAGATTTTATCATCTCCCTGTGTCACCTCAGGGTAATAAAGGAAATCCAATCAAACTGAGTCAATATGACCAGGATGATGTTCAACACAACAGACCCAATCATGCTCTGTGATCTGCATCCACCTTCCAGAAAGTCTCGGTGGGAGGGGCTGGGTGCCGGGAAAGCCTTCCTGTGGTTTCTAGATGAGATGGAGCCAGGGTCGTTCTCTCTGTCCCCTTGTCACGGCAGCTGCTTGTGACTCAGCGGGAGCCAGATGTCTACTTCTAGCTTCCTGACTGAGGCATGTGTCAGGAGTGATGTTCCGTTCTAATTATGATTATTTTTATTCTTAAAATATATACTCATAAACAATTGCCACAAAAGCCTTTTAGGTCAAATACATCTATTATAGGTAGGTAAAATGCTGTTGAAAATATTAGTCTTGCTGTGTAATAAGTAACTGAATTTATCGGTTGTATATATGCCTTGAATCACATTAATTTTGAAATTATTTATTTCTTATATGTGTATGGGTGTTTTGTCTATGTATATGTATATGTTCCATGTGTGTGCCCAACGTCTTTGGGGACCAAAAGAGGGCACCAGATCCTCTGAGACTGGAGCTACAGACAGCTCTGAACCATTGAGTGAGTTCTGGGAATTGAACCTGGGTCCTCTGAAAAGCACCATTTTAAATTATGTCTGCATGTGTGTCTGGTGTGCGTGCGTGCGTGCGCGCGTCCTGCAAAGACCATTTTTTTTTTTTGCCTCCACTTCCCAAGGGTTGAGATTATAGGCAAGTTCTCCATACCCCAGTTCTACTTCTACTCAATATGGCTTGCAGAGGGCTCTGCAGCAATCAGAGTGCAGCCTGCCTTTCTCCCCCTGCTCCTTTTCTCATTGTCCTCACCAGCTACAACACACCTTTTCGAGTAGTTATTACATGTGAATATTTAGGCGTTTCTTTCTTTATAGCACTAAAAGGGAAATACCAAAGGGCATTGTTGTTGTTGTTGTTTTTTACATTATTTTAAAATAGATTTGAGTGGCTGGAGAGATGGCTCAATGGTTAAGAGCACTGACTGCTTACTTTGATTGCCAGCGCCCACACAGTGGCTCACAACCATCTATAGCTCCAGTTCCAGGGGATCTGATGCCCTCTTCTGGCCTCTGTGGTCACCACGTATGCACACAGAACACAGATATTCACACAGGCCAAACACGCATAGTCATAACATAACAAAATAATAATAATTAAAACAAAATTGAGAACTGCGTAACCCAGATGATCCCATTTCTAACCTATCCTTTGTATTCTTGGAGCGTGGGTATGGATTAAGTGGTATCTTTAGGGAAAGATGGTTTTCAGGATGGGAACCCCCGGGTTAAAGCCAGTGAGGCACCTTAAGAGCCAACAAAAACCTTAAGGAAACCTACTTACGAGTCTGAGAAAATCCTGAAGACGAAAAGCTCATTTGACCTCAGGTCTTACTTTCTTTTTAGACGGATCCCTTTGCAGTAAATCTGAGATCTACGGCTAGCTTTCTGGGGTCAAGACACAGAGGCCTAGAGACACAGCCCACCCTTGGTATACTGTAGAAAGATAAACGCCCATGTAGCTGACTAGCGTCCTTTTATGATCTATAGGTTCAGAACTAATCTCTCCATTGCCTCTCATATTAAAAACAAAAGAAGCCAAAATGAAATAACAAAACATGCCATTTTTCCTAAAAATAAAGTAAAGCTCAGAATGATAGAAGCTTAAAGAAGCCAGTAAATAAAACTAGTTGGATTCATTCCATTCAGAAGCTAAGAACAGCAAAACATTTTTAAAATGATGAGACTAATACGAAGGCTAATACCCGGGCGATGAGCGTCTGCCAGGTCGATTTTTATCATTTCTCTGGTGTGTTCATTTGTTTCTTAATGTGCTCATCTTGCCCATTAAGAATAATTAGCAGCTTTGCTTAGAGATTTGCTGGCTTCTGGCAATGTCTCTCCCATTTTTTTTTTTTTTATTGACAGCCACCTTTACTGTTTGGAAAGTAATTTTTGGATAATATTCTACAACTGCTGTATAATTTTGGCTTCCTAAAATTTTTAAAGAAAAAACACAAACTGATTTCTAAGTGAGTTGTTTGATCTGTATGCACTGACAGTATGCGATTTGGCGGGTGAGTTATTCTTACAGAGAGGGAGGGCACAGATGAGGAGGGGAGTCACTCATATTAACCTCACTCAGCAAAACAGATGACAAGGCATGCCTATTGTAAGCTGTTTGCAAATCAAGAACAACATTAGTATTAAAAGCAGGAAACCACATCACCAATTTTAAGGCTTTTGCATGCTTTTTTCTCTTAATTAAAATAAATTAGATCTACTTACAACAGAAAAAAAAAGGCACACAAACATGGAACGCGCACATCGTAAAAACCGAACCCCATCAGGAAGGTTCTAAGAGATGAAATAAAACACGCGGCGGCCAGTTTGGGTCTGCATCCTAAAAGGACCCCTACTTCATCTACATTGTAAGGTTCTCCCTCCTGCCCTCTGGCACCCCGCTATATTAAACCCATTGTAAAACCCAGCACAATAAAGCACTCTCAGGGCTGAGCCTCTGAGGACCAAATGTTAAAAATCCATTTTCTTGGGAGGGGGCTGGACCAATCATTTCTTTGAAAGGCCGGCAGAGTGAATGGCAGAATCTGAGATTTCCTCTCTGATTTCAAGGGCTGGCATGGCATCTCTACTGCTCAAAGCGAAGGTGCGATAATAATTAATGACACGAACCTGGCTTCCCTTCTTTGGGCACTCTGTGGTTTAGTTCAACCATAATTTTAGTGCCATTAAATTTACATACCGATTCTAGATGCTACCCCCACAGTCTGACAGCAGAAAGTTCTAATTGATTTCTGGTGCTAATAAATAAAGTCACTTGGTGACTTCAGGGGGATAAAGATTTCAGGGTACTGGGCCCGATCTGGAAGTTTCTCCCTGTTGTTCAATATTCCTGAATTTCTACCCTCAGAAAGACACTGTGTGGGTTTGAGCTGGCGTACCTGAGAGCGCCCATTGCTCTCCGTGTTCCCTGACAAGGAGGAGCACAGTGAACTGATATGGACACAGAAGGAACCCGTCTACAGCAGTGAATGGAGCAGGAGTCTTCAGGAATATTTAGAAAAACTTGCCACAGTCTCAAGATCATGATTAAAGATCCTACGTTAAAAAAAAAAAAAAAAAGGAAGCACCTTTTGTCATCTCTCTCCCTGGTGTGAAAGGCAAAGACTGTGATTGGCTGTTTTTCCTTCCTGATTTTTTTTTTTTAGGCTGTCAGGCAATTAGCTGGGTGGGGCTCGGCAGGGCTGCTGAACAGCTAGCATGCTCCACGGTCTTCCTTCCTCCTATGCGAACAGCTGATGGAGCTGCTGCGGATTTTATTTCCAAAAAAAAAAAAAAATTACAGAGCGGAGAAAGGAGGAAAGGAAATAAAAAATAGGCTTTATGTAAAATGCCACAAAATTCAAAGCTGCCTCAAGCCTTTGAAGGGACTAAAAATTCAAATAAGGCTTCTTCTTACTCACCATGTCAAAAAAGAAAAAAAAAATCCAAAGCAAACAGATCTTCCACTTTTCCCTCTCAATTTCTAGCGGCTGTTAACTGCCCTGAACGTATCAGCTAGACTGCTAAAGTAGCCATAAATTATGCTTGCTTTTCTTAGTTAAAGTACAGTTCAATTTTCTGAACTCTGTGTACATATTAGTAAAGCATAATCTAATATAATGGGGTTTGAACTGTAATAGCAGAGCAGGAAGAAAAAAGAGATAGCTTTTTAATCCTAAATAAAAGGAGATAATGAAGAAGTGATAGCCGTTTCCAGTGGGGGGATATAGGCAACTCCCCAGCAATTAGCATAGGTACAGCATGACTGATGTGTGTGGCATCACAGGCACAGACGCTAGACATTAACATTTACAGGCAACCCGGGATGGGGTAAATAGTCATTTTAATCAGTTTTGTGCCGGAAGATCTTAATGGAAATAAAAGAGCAAGAATGCTACAAAATTATGAAATAAGATTTTGAATTGCCTCGAGAGGTGCACAAAACATAAGACTCCTTCAGTGAGAAGTGTCCGTAAACCCTGTGAGAAGTGTCCGTAAACCCTGTGAAAAGGAACACACCACGCAGTCAACTGCAGTGAGTCCATGTAGCTCTAGTTTTTCTTAATTACCGATTGTGTGTATGGGGAGCTCTTTTTTAATACCCCGTGCTGTCTTTCTTTATATCAATTGTTACTCGGCCCCGGGGGTAGGGGTGGGGGTGGGTGAGTGGGGGGGGGTTGGGAATAGGCACAACAAACCGGCTTTCTATCTGAATAAGGATACTTCTGATGGCCTTTTCATTCCCATCAGTTAACAGAACTTCTTTGACATCTGCAGAAATAGCAACCTGGAAAAAAAAAAAAAGAAAAAAGAAAGGGACTACAGCAAACAATGAGCAAATATGCTTGTCTGTGTGGAAGTGAAGACAGGAGTGACAAGCCTTCAGTATCATGCTTCCTCACCTATTCCTCTGTAACAATCTTCAATCTTTTTTCATTTTATGTCTGCATTATTTTAATCATTCAATCAAATCAGTCAATACTTTTATCATTCCATTTGCGGGAGCCTCTATCTTGCTATCATTCTGTTCGGTAATTGCATTGTGACAGCGGATGATGGCATTCTGAGAGGCTTTCATTTGTGGGCTCCTGTTTATCTAGTAGAGCCATCATACAAGGCTGTCACTCCGCCTTTCAGCCGGCTTCTGTCTGGCTGCCTGATGCCCTTCATATAACTTTGCATTGCAGGCAGATGGCTTTGTGAGGGTAATTTTTTTGTGAGCTTTGACATGCTCGCACATTGGGCTGTAACCTCGACACATTGTATAAGAGCGACAGGTTTGTCAAATGCCAATCAGTGTAACAATATGCTTTTATTTGTAGAGACATAAAAACTTGTCTAATGCACTGTGCTGCTACATAATATCTCCCGAATACATGACTGAGAACCCAGAGAATGGGGAACAACGTTCCTGAATGGCCAATCTAATTCAAAAGAATCTAATTACTGAGCGCTCTGGATCATGTTTGTTGGTGTAATAATACAGGCAAAACATTAGCAGCTATCTCATGGTGCTCCAACTGTGATTTGCTGGGCTATTCCTGCATCTTAGCAAATGGGACTATAATCTGAAGAAAAAAAAAAGAAAGAAAAGCTTTCGCTATGGCAAAGAAAGACTGTGCGAGGCCTGGAATGTCACAACAAGCGATATTGACTACACTGAGGTAAAATGTTTCTGCTCATCGAGGCAACCATAAAATCAATATGATCCGAAAGTAAGTCAATCTAGAAGGTCTCTCAAGACCCGGCAGCTTGACCGCAGCTGATGCTGTTGACGGTTCTCTGACCCAGCAGTTGGAGGCCCTGGAACATTTTTCCTTTTGTTCCTCCCTCTGAATGGGATTGGAATTGAGAAAAGACCTACCATGAGCCCAGCCAAGCATGTCATGCCACCCCCGAGCTCACACACAGCAAGGTCCCTGAAAGAGAGAAAGAAATGGTAGAACCCATACAAATTAGATGAAAATGGTCAGAGCCATATATATGTTACAAGAACAAATTACCATCTGCAGTAAGAACGACACTACCAGGGAGTTGTGGAGACACGACTGGGCTACCTCATGTCGTTTTGCGTTTTAAAAATAATTATGAAATAGAGAAGTCACAGAGCAGGCAAGCCAGTGGGGGGTTCCCTCATTAGCGTTCACTGCAACATTACCACCGCTGAGCTGAAAAATCTGAGAAGGTTCCCCTTTTTTCTCCTTGTCAATGGTGCTGTCTTTTAGAACTAAACTAGCTAGAGTAGCGAAAGATAATTGTTAGGGAAGGATAACATTGTTAATCCACATTCATGCCTTCAAAACCAGTTAGACAAGTAAATGAAGAATATATATGAGTGTGTGTGAACTTATGTTAGAGTCACACACAGCACACAAATAAATGCAATCCTGATTTTTTTTTATTCTAAAAAAAAAGCTGAAACAATTTGGAGAGCTGAACCACCCCCATAAGGCACAATTACACAAAGAGCATCCAGCAATTAACACGTAGATCACAATTGACCCGAGCACACCGAAGCAAATAAACAATGCAGGGACATAATGTGGTTGAGGAGCAGACCAGGCTGAAGTCAGGGCTCAGAGGTAAGGCTGAGCGTGCCGTTCTACACTTACCTTCCCCTTCTGTGCCTAAATATCAGCCCTCAATGTGTGACATTCTCGCCCTGGCCCACTGCTGGCTGGCTGGAGTTTAAGCACAGTGAGATTCCGAAATGTCAGCCTTCAGGGCTGTAGCCCTGGATTCAGAACTGCCCTCTTTAGATATCATAAGCTTAGGGTTCTAACATCACTAATTATATTTAGCTATTCAATGTATATTTAGCTATTCAATGCAATCCCAGACTGTTGGGTAGGTATGGACTCACAGAGCTTCAAAAAATATGTGGTACCCACCCAATCCTGTAAGAACATATAGTTAAAACAAATCATGATCACTAAAGGCTTCTTATGAAGCAATGGACTACTCAGAAAGTATATATAGGATGTTTATAAAATAACAATTAAAATGGAAAAAAAGCCCTCCACTTTCTAGTTGTACCAAAGATCTCCAGAATTTTTAAATAAAGAGCTCCTTTTCGCCTTTCCTAAATCTCATCCATGGTTTGATACATAACACATATATTAACAGCTGAGAGTATTGACTTCTTTAGAATAGTAATTTATATTACACATATTGTCAAGGACACAAGAAATGCCTTTAAAATGAGGACATCTTCAAGTAACAGCTGTGAGGCATCTATCAAATGTGCCAGTGACTTCCCTAACAGAAGTTACAGAATGTGTTTATTGTGGGGATTTTTTTTTTGACCTTCACAATCAGCAAGGATTGATTGCGCCTTCCCTTTTGTTTCCCCCAAATCAAAGTGAAATAAAATGCCTTGAGTGAAAATCAAAAGCCTTTGACACAAGCAAGAAGCTTGCTGTGCAGTTCGCACCTGAAGGCAGTGCAGACCCCTCTGCAGAAGCAACATGTGTTCCTGGGGACTCCGCCTTCCCCCACTTCCCGTCAACGCTTTACAGCTGGGAGGCTGCAGAGCAGGCCGTTTTTTAATACGCAGATTCAATAACCATGATGGGCTAAACAAATATCTTTTAAGTGTGGCTCTTACCTGAACATATTACTGTGCTTGAGGCAGTAGTAAGCTAAAACCTCCTCAGACGGCCAGATGCCTGGAAACACAAGAGGGGAGATACTACGATTAGACAGTCTTTCCCCAGACTAGCTTTTAAAATGAAGGCTGGGCACCAGCCGCTGCAGCTCAAACCAATCTTAGCATGGTGCCTCCTTGCCAGGAGTCAGGTCATGAATGTCCTTGGTTGCTATTTTTATTTTTTTAGTTTTTATTTTTTGGTTTTTACGAGACAGGGTTTCTCTGTATTGTTTTTGAGGCTGTCGGTCCAGCCCAGCCTCAAACTCACAGAGATCCGCCTGCCTCTGCCTCCTGAGTGCTGGGATTAAAGGCGTGCACCACCACTGCCCAGCGGCTGTTATTTTTATAATGGTCAGCATTATGACCTTTTCCCCAGAGTGACAACAAGACAACCTCAATAAACCTTGCTAAAGTTCAATCACAATAAAACAGAAAAACTATTAACAACCAACACGACAGTTATCAAAAGTTAAATGTTGATGGTTCCAAAACAATACAGAGAAACCTTGTCTTGAAAAACCAAAAAAAAAAAAATGTTAATGGTAGTTCAAGTGGATTTTAATCTTACTTAGACAAAATTAATGCATGAGTTGAAGGCTTGCTATGTATGCAGTTCCTGCTAGGAAAAAAAAAGTGGGAAAAAACTTTAAATTAACTTTAAAGGGGCAAATAAAACTGCTAAGGTCATTCTATTGGTTTTTTTGTTTGTTTGTTTTTTGCTTTTGTTTTTGTTTTTGTTTTTGTTTTTGCAGGGGTAGTGGGAGGGTTGAGACAGGGTTTCTGTGTGTAGCTCTGGCTGTCCTAGAACTCGATCTGTAGATACGCTGACCTGGAACTCAGACATCTGCCTGTCTCTGCCTCATGAGTGCTAGGATTAAGGGCATGTGCCACCACCACCACAAACCAGCTTCATTCTGTCGTTCTATACATTTTCATATTAATATATTAAGTTATCCACAATTACTTTATTTCTTTAATTAAAATATCAACTGCAGTATAAGATTAAGAGACATTAATTTCACTATATTTGGCATGCCTTTAAGTCAAATAGTGTTCCTAGGCACTAAACTGCATGGAGAGACATTTCCTAAAATCATTACTTACACATCTACTGAGAAGACCAAAACTTCAAGAATGGATACAAATTGCTTCCAGGTAAATTATTAGAAGTCATAGTTACTGGGGGTTGCAATAGGATGGTTAGATTATGTGTGTTTTTAATTTTTTCCTCTACATTTTTTTTGTATTTTGCAAAATTTTTACAATGAGCCTACATCACCTTAGATATGATTAGAATAAATTATAACCTTATAAAAGTTACGACTTCTTCCAAGGAATCAGCCTTATTCATCAGTTGGGGACACCCTCCCCCCCAGGTATCCTTCCTGTGTGAGGTTAAGGATGCCCCATGGCCCAAAATGAGATACATCGAAAATATTTGATTTTTCTTCTGAGATGTATCGTAACACAAGAAATCTAAACCTGGTCTTCGCTGGCCTAGAGTTTGTTCCAAGCTCCGGTGAGGGAGGCATCTGCGAACTCAGGGCCTCTCCTGGCCAGTCTGCCCATGCTCGTTGCCCTGCTCTCTGGGAACTCACCCCCCTTCCCCTCTACCCAGCCCCCCCTCCCCCGCTCGGGGAGGTCCGCGGGAGGCCCCAGTCTCAGACCTCCCCGGCATTCAGCACGGACTCCCCCCCTCCCCCGGCTGATGAGCTTCCTTTGCCCGCAGCTTCTATGAGTTCGAGGCCAGCCTGGTCTACAGAGAGAGTTCCAGGACAGCCTCCAAAACAGTACAGAGAAACCCTGTCTCAAAAAAAAAAAAAATCTAAACTCTTCAGAGAAGATATGAAAGTAGTCAAAGAGCATGGGTGAGTGAGTTAAGGAAGAGGAAGAGGTGACCACAGCAAGACCTGCTACAGGGAAGCCCAGCAGGGTTGGAAACCCACTCAGCAGGCACACAGATGGGAGATCGGAGCAGTCAAGACCACAGGCACCTTGAAACCAGACTGCCTGGGCTCCAGTCCCTGCCCTGCTGTGTTTGTTAGCTCAGAGGCCTTTTCATCCTGGAAGTATAATAACTGCAACATCACCTTCATAGGAAGGCTGTACGTACGGGTCAGACGAGTGAAAACACATGCAGTGGGCTTCGAAGAATTCTCAGCTCTTGATAAGCATAAAGGAAAAGTAGGTTGTTCCCGTTGGCCTCTTGTGAGGAGGGTAGAACAGTAGATAGATAGAGAGACCACAGCGATTATCCCAAGAGTCGGGACAGACAGAGAACCATTGCTTTGTCTGGATGGCAACGTTGTAAGACCTTGTACACCTCCACACAAAAAGAACTTCATAAAGACCGACGTACATAATAAAACTCTCCGGAGGAAGAGCCAAGACAGTGTTCTCACTAAGTGGGTGTAATCACCACAAGAATGGATTTCTTTATGCCCTGAGTACATGGCTGTGAGGTTTTTTTAAAAAAAGTAATGATAGGGGAAAGGTATTTAACTAAAACTTAAGCCCCAATGAAGAATGGATGTGACTTCTAAAATGCATAGTCTTTTCAACTCATTTTATATATTTTTTGAGAAATTACAGAGTGATTTTTTTAAAAACTAAGTTAAATATAAAGATCAAAAGGCTAAATTTCTACTGTTAGCAATATAATCACTGTTAATGTTTTAGACATCACTCCAAAAACTCTTTCTAGTTATAAAGGTATCTCACCCAGTTGGGATTCAGTAACTTGATTTTGTCCCCATTCAATTAGGTGTAGGAAGGGGCCATAGCACTGAGCTCACACTCCAGTGATGTCATTTGTACCAATGGTCTACATTCTCCCTTGTGTATCAGCATTCAATTAACCCATTTCCTCTTATTAGACAGTTAAGCTGGGTTCAAAGTTTGTAATATCATAAGATTATAAATAGCAATAGAAGGAAACATCTTTTCCTAACATATTTTCCCCCAGCCAAATTTAGAGATGGGATATCTGGTCAAAAATCAGGTACAGGGTCTGGAGAGATGGCCCAGTAGTTAAGAGCACTTGCTGCTCTTGTAGAGTTCTGGGGTTCAACTCTTAGCACCCACATGATGGCTTACAACCATCTCTAACTCCAGTTCCAGTGTTTGCAACCTCTTCTGGCCTCCAAGGGCACCAGGCACATATGCTGCACACACACACACATAGATAAGACACTCACACATAGAAAATACAGATAAAGAAATCATTAAAAACTTGGGAATAGTCCATATTCTGATAAACGGGTTGAGCATCCCTAATCTGAAATCCAAAATACTCCAAAACCTGAAACTTCCTGAGGGGTCATGTGACCACAGATTCTACACATGCTCTCAGGTGACATCATTCAGAACAAAGCTGCCCTAAAAGCTTTGTGTAAAACCAACTTCAGGTGACTTATATAAAATACATATGAAGCAAAGGAATTTCACATTTACACTTGGACTCCATCTTTAAGATATTATGTACATGTTAATATCCCCCAATTTAAAATGATCCCAAACCTATGCCTCTGACCCCACGCTTTTAGGATACCGGACATTGGATCTATATGTAACTGTCCCATGTGAATTTTATACACTCCATAATCCTCAGAAATAATGTTCATTCTGGGCTGGCTCTCATGACCCAAGTCTTGGATCATATGTAAAAATGAAAGGGGATAGGAAATAACGCCACAGCATTGTCCCCTGAGGTGTACATGTTCTCCATCATACACACACACAATAATAAGCAATTTTCAAAGAATATTTGTTTCTTCAAAACCTTACCAAGACAAGGCTTTATCTATTTTAAATCACAAATTTTATTAGCACATGTTAATTATAATTATTTACATGATGGGTTTCATTAGGGTATTTTCATACATATTCATACAAGTTTTTTTTCTGTATCTACACTCTATCCCTTTCTGCTATTGCTGGTCCTCTTTCTAATCCCTTTTCTACTTTTCATTTTGTTTTAGCATTTGAGGTCTCGGAGAGTATCAGTAGTTACTGTTGCAGGATCCCAACGGGTGTCCCATGGGGGTGGGGGAAAGTAGACATCACACCAACACCACCCACCATAGGCATCAGGAGCAAGTTGAAACAATAAACTCAACTCTGCCCCAGGAGAGGAGATCTGCTGAGGTGACGTAGTCGCTGTCCATAGGGTCACATCATCTCTCATCTGCTGTTGTCAAGAGCCTCTGGCAGACCCAGGCTGGCTGTCAGGAGATATCTACTGTGCATGCTCTTACTATCAGTGTAGGTTGACTGTCAGGCCCGTTGAGCCTTAGTTTTCCCACAGGTTACTTAAAGGATCTTAGGTGAGGAATTGTTCACAGAAACACCAGTGACTTCACCACTGAAGAGAATGTCCCTCTCTCACTTGGCATCATTAAGTCCCCATAGATACTCAGGGGTGGGGGTGAACACCTCCTCACTATTACTGTTATCTGTCCATGGGTTCTTGCAGACCTCTGCGGTCCCTCTTCTCCATATGGCAGGATGCCCACAGGTCCAGTAATTACACCTGTTGTGACATCAAGGGTGCAATGTCAAGTTCTGAAGTCAACACACCTGGCCACACACCTACCTCCATCCCTTACATTCTTCCTGCCCCAGCTCCTGCAGTCCTTAGAGGGACAGATACAAAAGACCTATTCATGGCTGAGCATCCCAAGTGGCCGGCACCTTGGCTACAAATGAGTCAGGGAGTTACCACTGCTCACTATAAAGAGGAGCTTTTCTGACCAAAGGCAATGGCTGCACTAACCTGGGGTATGAGCATATTCATTTAGCAGCTACTTTGATGGGCACATGATGGGTGATGACCTTCTGTATATATTTTTCTCTTATTGGTTGATGAATAAAACACTGATTGGTCAGTAGCCAGGCAGGAAGGATAGGCGAGGGTATGAGATGAGGAGAATTTTAGGGAGAGGAGGCAGAAAGAGGCTGCTAGGAAGAGATGCCATGTAGAGATAGGGAAGATACAGGACATGCCAGGCATTCTCTGGT